TCAATCAAGTATTATGATGACATGCACAACATTTTTTATTAATTATTATTATTGTCATTTTGTATTGTGACTACATTATAATAATGTCATTTTAACTGCATTTTTGTGATGGAAACAATTATAGGAATATTTTTACACTTATACACTTGTTACTTAACATAGTCACACACAATAGTGAGAGAAAGTGAGGACAGTATGATTAATCAGGGCAGTATTATTGGGTCCCAAGGTGTCTGGAATATATTACTTCATGAGCTACTGATACTCCTCCAAGTTTTGTGTGAATAACGAATTTAAATTAATCAAAATTTTTATTATAAATGCTTTTAAAATAAGCAATATGAAAGGTAAAAGCAATAAAACTAATCAAAATTATTATTATCAAGCATCAATATAAATATTAAAATCAAGTCCCAGTTCATTCCTAATGGCTTCAATCCAGTCCTCACCTAAAGCTTCTGCTGCATCAGCATAACTGCCTCTTACAGCAATGAATGAGCTTAAGAACTTTTGACAGTGCTCCTCCACTTTAGGTAACTTCCTCTTAACTCTAAGGCTAGCCCTAAATTCACCTAAAAACTCTTCCATTGTACAAATCTCTTTGACCCCTTCACTAATGAGGCCAGCAGTGTATAATTTATTAGCAAGATTTAAAAGAGAAGATTTAGTTAGAGAAGTGAGAGTATCATAATGAGACACTAGCGTATCATCAATCACTTTCTTCACTTTGCTGACATCAACAGTAGCTGATGGACCTAATAGAGGTCAAAGGTCAGTATATACACACAGTATTATCACTTACTAGCTCCTCCAGTGGATGATACTGACGTTGATTCATGTACTACATTAGAGGAGGAGGGGGTAGTAGGATCTGATTAATATTAAATAAATAAACAATTGAAATGATTTATCTATTACTTGTTGCTGAAGGAGCAGTTTTCAGTGATCGATGAATAAATAATGAAACAGGATCAGCCACTCCATCCAGTGGTACAGAGTAATGCAGTGATGGTACAGCACCAGGTGAAGAAGCATAGACTGATATTAGACAAGATGGAGGAATAGGATCATTAGCCTCACCAAAATTGTCGATATCAGAGCGATACAACTATAAATACAAATTACATGTATAATACTTAGTGAATATCATATTTTCCCTACTTACTTTACAAGGCTCAAAATGTGATTGTATAGTCCAACCAGTGAATGGATACTTCTGTGGAGTATGATCAAGTTTCAACTCAATGGAATCTCTTAAATACTGAAAACTGAAGGGAACATGTGGTCCTATTTCAGCTTGTGAATGCTCCCGTTTAATGTACTGTATGAACAATATCAATCCACTGACATTCAAATGAATACACTTACTTCAACAAGAGCATTCAGATCTTTAGCAGCAGTGAATGTCACCAGATCCTCTACACCTTTCTCTTCATAATAAATCATTCCTGCATATTTCATCTTCTTCAGCACACTAGTGACAACTAGATCTGAAGAAATACCAGTACATGTAATTAATTTTAATGTGTAGTGCTTACTATTAGCATAATTTGAACTAGACTCTGTACAAAGTGTAGCAATAGCTGTTCCTTCTTGAGAAGGATCCTGCTGTGCTTCCTGTCCTCTGTCTCCTTCATTACCTTCTATTACTATCTGCCCTCCTCCTTCTAGCTGCACTAGTGCTGGCTGGCCTCCTTGCTGTACCATTGCTGGGTGGCCTCCTTCTTGCTGTACTGTTGCTGGCTGGCCTCCTTCTTGCTGTACTGCTGCTGGCTGGCCTCCTTGCTGTACCATTGCTGGCTGGCCTCCTTCTTGCTGTACCATTGCTGGCTGGCCTCCTTCTTGCTGTACCGTTGCTGGCTGGCCTCCTTCTTGCTGTACCGTTGCTGGCTGGCCTCCTTCTTGCTGTACCGTTGCTGGCTGGCCTCCTTGCTGTACCATTGCTGGCTGGCCTCCTTCTTGCTGTACCGTTGCTGGCTGGCTTCCTTCTTGCTGTACCATTGCTGGCTGGCTTCCTTCTTGCTGTACCGTTGCTGGCTGGCCTCCTTCTTGCTGTACTGCTGCTGGCTGGCCTCCTTGCTGTACCATTGCTGGCTGGCCTCCTTCTTGCTGTACCGTTGCTGGCTGGCCTCCTTGCTGTACCGTTGCTGGCTGGCCTCCTTGCTGTACCGTTGCTGGCTGGCCTCCTTCTTGCTGTACTGCTGCTGGCTGGCCTCCTTGCTGTACTGCTGCTGGCTGGCCTCCTTGCTGTACTGCTGCTGGCTGGCCTCCTTCTTGCTTTACTGTTGCTGGCTGGCCTCCTTCTTGCTGTACCGTTGCTGGCTGGCCTCCTTCTTGTTGCACTGCTGCTGACTGACCTGTGCCTGGCTGTGATATTGGTGTTAATGCTCCCCTTCCTCCTACAGCTGGTTGTTGTTGAATTGCTGCTCCTTGTTGCTGCTGACTTTGGCCTCCTCCTCCTCCATCTCCTCCTCCTTCATGGCCATTTTGTGAACCAATGCTGGCCATTGTCACCATAATCAATCCCAGTATGCACACCAAACAGAACTCTTTACGTTGAATGGATCCATACCAACTATTAGAGCTAAACTCTCCACCTTCAACTATGGAGAACTGGTAAGGAAGACTGGGTGTGCTCACGGGAGCTATGGCAAACTTGAGATGACGACTAAGACCTGGTCGTCCTGTTAAATCAACGCAGTGCTGTATTTCTAATATGAGCCGTTTGAGGAGAGGCTTTGAGAGTGATACTGCATACACAGCACTCACTAAGACAGTATTAGGAGGAAACTGGAACTCTCCGCCTACAAGAGCAACCACTGCTGCTTCTACTGTCTCAGAGGACAGTAAGCTCTCCTTTTGTACTCCAATCCTTAGACCATATTTCTCCCAATTCATCAGTTGAGGTTTGTCTCCTTGAATTAAGAACAGCTTCCTCTCTGCTACCTGGACATCACTCAGACAATCCAATTTATCTGTCAATTATACAAAATATATACAGTGAGTACACACACAATTGTATACACTCAGTCAGTCACACAATAATACTCTTACCCATTGAAGGGATCAGGTAATTAAATTGTAATCCAATGGAACTAGTCTCTTTGATGGATTGTTCCTCTAAGGATGTGACTCTCTCCTGTAGTTGTGACTTCTCCTTCATTAGTTTGGTTGCATACAATTCATTATCAGACACTTTAGCTCTAAGGTCTATAAATTAATAGAATATTAATAATTATTATTGATTGATGATGATACACTAACCAGCAATGATCTGTTTCTCATTCTGTGATTGTTCCTCTACTTGTGATGTCAGTT